GCATGTGGTATTTTGGCTGGAAAAGAGAAATTGAGAGAGGTGACATAGAAAATAACCAGTGAGCAAGGGGACACAAGAGGGGAATGGCCCCCTCAGGAACCAAGAGGAAGCCAAGGACCATGCAGGCAGCAGCTGGAGAGCACAAGCAGCCTCTTCTTTTAGGCACTGGAGACGTGGATTTTCCCCTGAGCTTTTCTCATGTACACACCATAAGTGCCTACATGTGCTCAGGATAAGGGGAGCCAAGAGCTGTTCCTGGGAAAGGCTGAAATTCCCATTTTCCCCAGCTGAGGGCACCTCTGGATGCACCCTGCTCCTGCCAGCCCGAAAAAGGTTGCACTGCACCGTGGCTCCCTTCCGGACCAGGTCGCTTGCCACGAGTTTTGGCCTGGTGAAACTACAGAACTTCTGCAGGGTCTCTTCCACAGTTATGTTAGAGAAAGGGAAGAATGTGTCATGTTCCCCTCAGACGAGGTAACATCAGCTCTTCAGGGTACTGAACAGACTGAGTTTGATAAGCCTGGCACAATTGGCCACAGACCGTGCTGCCTCTTCTCAATCAACTCCTCAAATCACATCATGATGTTAAGCTTTGAGAGCTCAGAATTACTATGATTTTTATTCCCAAGAAGAAATCTATTAATTCACTAGTGAAACATTCCAAAGTCACAGACAAGGCACTTGAAGGACTGAAAAAAAGCATTAACTCAGCTGTCAAAAAAACTTGATTTGGCATTTGACCTTAGGAACTGGTTTCTGAAGTGATTTGACTATCCTTAGACACCTTAGATTATGGCTCCACATTTTAATAGCAGATACCAGTTATTTCCGCGGTACCATAGCATTTATGATGTGTGATCCTTACTGCTGAACTAGTGAAATTCCGATACCTGATTACAGTAATGATGGGCATTTATAAAAGCCCAAATAAATAGAACTGTCTGAACATTTGTAATTGAGTTCTCTTGAAAATTGCCTAGAAAATCATGACCATATGCAGACAGTCTGGCCTGTCTAAGATTTCTTCTTGGATCATCTTCTGCAAGCTGCTTTTCTTATTCTCCTCAGGATCATCCTGTCCCTTTCAGGGTGATGTTTATTGCTGGTCCTCTTTAATTCCAGGCAGAAATGYGCTATCTTTTCAGTACCACCCAGTTTTGGAGTGCAAGGCAGAAAAAAGGAGAATGTGGCCAGGACGGCAAATAAAGAGACTGTTTCCCCCTTGTTCCCTGCTGGGAACAGAGGGTTTCTGGGACAGATGTGGAGATGGGCACCCTGTGACATGTAGGACATGCAGAACCTAAAAATGAGGGCAGCAGCAGGGCTGCTCCGGGCACATCATAGCACATGCTTTGGAAACCTGGTTTGATTCCACAGGCCAGTTTCACTGGGCCTCAGTGAACTTCCCACCGGCAGGGTCTCACATGCAGATGAGTTTTCACTCAAAAATCACCTTTCTTTTGTCATTTTTGAATGTTTGCTTACCTTTGCATTTTTCCCCCACAGTAGACGTTTCATGTAAACCGTTGCAAATTCTATGGCTTCACTGGTAGGAGGATTAACTCACCGTGCAGGCTAGCCTGGACTTTGCAGCTCACACAGTGTCTGCGGGAAAAAAAAAACGTGTTGAGCATGGGTGCAGGAACCAGTGATATCTCGCCCGTATTGAAGTTTTGACGCTTACTTCAAAGTGGGCTTGGATTTCACCCAAGAACTCTGGTGTTCCCTTCTCGGCTGCAGATTCCTTTCCAAATGTGGGCATTCTGCTTCGCCTTTCAGTACCGATTTCCTCTTGTGGAAAACTGTTGTTGATTTTCCGACACGTCAGCTCCAGGTATCCAGCTAGGCATCTGAACCCGGGTTCTCAAGCTGCAGTGAAGCACGCCGAGGAGAGTGCAAAATTGTCCCCTTGCCTCATGTCACCTATCTGCTTCTGAGGACTGGCCAGGCCTGATGGAAAAATGCTTTGGGAGGGGAGGGAAAACTTTGATCGTCAAGTAGGGTTCAAAGAAAGCAAAACTTGTTGTGCACCAATCTTAGCCTTCATGTGTCTTTTATTGCAGGAACTATAAAAAGTTTCCCAGAAAGTCTGGCTGAGTTCACATTATTTCAAGGTATAAGAATTTTCCTGTTCTGCCCCATCCAAATTCCCCTCCTTCCCATGATAATCCTCACCAGGCTTTGCCCAGCACCAGAGGACTTGACTGCAACAGCACAAGGGCTGCATGTAGGGTCTCTCCTGGGTGCCTTTAGCAGCCCCGGGCTGCCCTGCCTCATTTTAAAAAGCCCACGGGCAGCTGGGCCAGCTCCTTGGGAGGCTGCAGGATTACTCAGCCATTAAGGCAGCGGGGAGAATAGTGCCTGGGATTTCCTTTGGAAGCAGGAACACATAAAGCAGGAAAGGGTCCCAGAAAGATACTAGCTAGGTAAGAGAGAAGAAAAAAATCCATCCTGTGTTTCTCTACTAGCTTAGTCACTCCTGAATGGAGCAATTGGACCTTCTGAGAGGGTCTTTATCTGTCTCTAAAGTCTGATAAAGTGCATCATGATAATGTGAAAAAGTGAAGTTCAGTTTATCTATGGATTTGTATTTCTTGTGTACCTAAATGTCACCCCTCTTTTTTTTTTTTTTTTGACACAAGTTTTGACAAAATCTTTACTTGTAAACTACCTTCTCCAGCAATTTCCCAAGTTTGGGGTTTCCAGTGATTTGAATTTTGTCTATTCTGTGTATGTTTAATCTCTGCACGATTGCTTAGTTACTTCCAAGTGCTAAAGCAGGCACCTTGCTAATGTAATCAGTTCTGCGAGGGCTCCTCTGATTAAGTTCACGTACAGCTCCTCTTGCCTGATTTCTGGGTAAATGAAGCACAGAACTGCTTCTTATCCTTTTACTAAAAATGCTTTTAGCAACCTGAACCAGCAGTCTGCAAGAGACCTATCTAAATAAAGCCCCACAGAATAGTTTTGGCTCAGGGTGGGTTTTTTTGTTATGTTTTGTTTTTGTTTTTGGTCTTGCTTGCTAGAAACCAGTGGAGGGGAAGGAACACAGATTTTATCTGGCAAGTGATTGCGCTTCCTTACGTAGTACTTCCCTAGTAGGAAGAAAAAATCTACCCCAGTGCCACAGACAGCAATGAATATTCTCACATTGATTTAAGGATTTTTTAAAGATTGCAGTACCTGCATTGTTGGATTTTTTTTTTTTTTTTTTTTTTTACAGTCTAACTTACCTAAAGGAAAACATTAGTCCAGAATAGGCCTGATCATTTTTACATGTGTTAAAGTTGTAATTCCGGTGAAAATATATACAAATAATCACCAGAACAACCCAGTGGAACTTACTTCAGACATCACAAGTTAAAATATTTTTCCTTTCTAAGAGATGAAGAGATTCGTGTTTTCAATTCCCTCTTTTCATGGTCCTGGTAACTTTGTAAAAGTAGAACCTATTAAGTTATGGGAACTTGGAAAAGAACACGAATAATCAAGTGGGTGCTCAATGGAACAAAGTTTTTCCCACAAATAATGATTGATATCTGTGTCATTAGTAGGGTAGCTGCCCATCTCGTACTATGATTGACAGGTTAATAAGGGACCCGGGGCTATCTTTTCACTGCTAACACACAACCTAACCAATTGCTTTTAAATTATTGCTAATTTGACAGAGTATAAGGAGAAGACATTAAAAATATGTATTTGGAATAAAGTAATATCTAGTGGAGGTTTTACTTGTGGTATTCTGAGTAATTCCATTTCAGAAAATTGAGTAGAATTTAGTTAACAGACCTTTTTTAGGCACAGAGTTTTTAAAGAAAATCTTATAGTTGTGCTCTGGTTCAATTAGGAGCAAAAGAGAAGGGAGTTTTGTAATGCAATTGTCCTGTAAAGGAAAATGTTTTAAATTGGAGAGATTATGTGAGCAGACCACCTGTAGGGCATTCATAGCTCTTTTCTATAATGCTTCAAGCCATGCCTTGCTGCCTGCAGTCTGGCTAACAATGCAGGGAAAAGCTGTTTAAAAGGCTGTTCTCCCTTTTCCCTCTGGTGTTCACTAACTGTTACAAGTCTTCCTCTTAAAATAAAAAAAAAAAAAAAAAAAAAAAAAGTCCCACGTCCCTTTAATTGAAGAACTTTAAGGCTCCATGGTGGCCAATTGGTCTGCAACAAGAGGAACCAGGCAGCAGGGAAAGAAACTTCAGACTATACATCACGTTTGGTGAAGAGAAAAGATCAAAGTTTTCCCAAACTCAAAAGAAACCAAGTTCCCTACAGATTAACCCTATTCATTTAGCTCCTCTTAAAGGAATGATGTTCTGAGCCACTGGGCAGACAGGTAAAAAGTTCAACAATTGCCAAAGCATTCTTCTGTTAATTCAACAGCCTTCTGCTCAAATAAATTAGCTTAGTCCTGACAGAAGAACAATACCTTTTCTCTTGAAAAAAAGACCATATTCGATATACAAAAGTTAAGTATGAAAGGTTAAGATGTTAGTTTAATCTGTTAAGGAGAGGCTGATCYAACAAATTTCAGCTCAACTCACTGCTCCACTGTAAAACGTAAACCTGCAAGTTTAAAACATTAGCACTCCAGCAGTCTGCACGCCTGGAAAGGCAGGTGCTTAGAAAAGTACAGATGACAAGATGACAGAAGTGCACTCGCCTGCCTTTACCAGAATTCATTTTAAAAATGATACCTAATGATCTCACCATGCAAGGTGACTCTTTTCCACAAGYTCAGTTTAAGACACTGTCACCATTTAAAATGCACAGAGCAGAGAACTACATTAGGCACCTCCCACTTCGGGTGACTTTGTCAGAATGACTTGTTGAGGGCTYGTCCTTGTGCCCACAATCTCTCTATCACAGCTGGCCATCTGTTACACACCAGTGACTAACCCACAAGCACAGTCCATAGTTTCTATCTCTCAGCCTCATAAGCAACTAAGGACACAGCAGCTGGAATAATCAGGGCAGGCGGAGGGGAAAACTTGAGAAAGTCAATTATCAAAAGTCATTTTATTGACAAAATAGAATACTCATATTTGCTCTTACAGGGGTAGCCTCTAAACTTTTTTTACAAAAAAAAAATTTACAGACTGTATAGCTTTGGATATATACATATTTTACACAACTGTACAAAGTAACAAATAATTATATAAATACATCCTTTAATGAAGGAAACCCGTATTTATCTGGGGTGTATAATTAAGACATGTTTTGATTCAGTCTGCGTTATAAGGCATTTGCCTGGTTGTGAACATCCCAAAAACCTGCAGTCCCAGCACTCTTGCCTGGCCATGGGGGAGAGGAAGAACCTCCCTCCCACGGGTAAAGAGCTGCTCTTAGTCCAGAGTGAATCAGAAGCCGCTCTGCCCTCTGCAAGACTCGGGGGAGCCTCTACCCTCCTTTGCCAGYAAAATAATAAGCTGGCTCCTTGAAGTGGGAGCTCCCTGTATGTGAATGGTGGGGAGGGAGGCGGGGGCTGCAGCCGGGGCCTCTGCCAGCCGCATTGTTCCATACAAGCCGCGGCTAATAGGGACCATTAGGGGTTCATTAATGGCTCCAAACAGCGAGGGGGCATTTTAGGCAGGCGGGTGAGCAGGCCGGTGTCCCTCATTCCCTAACCTTTGGTCTCTTTCCCCGCTCCTCACACTTGAGACAGGGGCATCTGCTTGGGGTAGGAGACAGAGCTGGCAGTGCCCGACCTCCACGTGAGGCCGGTGCTGACGTCGCTGTAGAGGGAGCCACCGCCTCCAGCACCGAGTCCTCCCGCGGCAGCGATTGCGGCCTGTCCTCCTGCGCCTGCCCCTGTGCCCCCGGCCACAGCAGCTCCTTTGCTGGACCAGCAGCAGCGGGTGCAGAGAGCCCTCCAGGACTCAAGGGTCTTCCCGGACCAGACCCACACACCAGAGGTGATGCCCACCACCAGGCACATGAAGTACTTGAGCATGAAGACAGCATAGTCCGGGCGGCGGGCCTGATCAGGCTGCTGGTCACGCAGGCAGGGGCAGTTGTGTGTGGCCTCCCAGCGGGGCCGATTGTGCTGCTCGTAGAAGAGGCAGGCGACCACGCTGGCGGCCGGCACAGTGTAGAGCACSGTGAAGAGGCCCAGGCGGATCATCAGCTTCTCCAGCTTGTGGGTCTTGGTGGGGCCGCCCTGCTGCTTGATGACGCTGCGGATGCGGAAGAGCGAGACGAAGCCAGCGAGCAGGAACATGGAGCCGATGGCCAAGTAGATGAGCAGTGGTGCCAGCACAAAGCCSCGCAGRTTCTCCAGGCTCTGGTTGCCCACGTAGCAGATGCCTGCCACCGGGTCCCCATCCACAGAGCTGAGTGCCAGCACGGCGATGGACTTGACGCTGGGGAGCAGCCAGGCTGCCAGGTGGAAATACTGTGCGTAGCCGGCGATGGCCTCATTGCCCCACTTCATGCCGGCTGCCAGGAACCACGTGAGGGAGAGGATGACCCACCAGATGGAGCTGGCCATGCCAAAGAAGTAGACGAGCAGGAAGACCACGGTGCAGAGCGCCGGGCCGGTGCTCTCGTAGCGCACGTGCTCGGCCACGGCCAGCTCGGGCTGCAGCTCGGCCGCGCCGCCCGCCGCCCCGCGTCCCCCCGCCGCCCCTGCAGCCGCCGCGCTGCCCCCAGCACCCGCGGCCCCCGCGCCGGGCCCTGCGGCCGCTGCGCCACCGCTGCAGGCCACCTTCTCGTGGCCTGCCACGAGGCGCACCAGGTAGCCGAGCGAGACGAAGAGGTAGCAGGCGGCCAGGAAGATGATGGGCCGCTCGGGGTACTTGAAGCGCTCCATGTCGATGAGGAAGGTGGAGACGGTGGCGAAGGTGGAGAGGAAGCAGAGCACCGACCACAGGCCGATCCAGAAGGCGGTGAAGGCGCGCTCGTCGGGGCTGAAGTAGGGGTTGTGGCAGGGCAGCGCGCAGTTGGCGATCTGCCCCGTCTTGACGCGGTTGTAGAGCGGG